GAACGAATTTACAAAAAATTAATTAAGGAACGAACTGAGACGTAACACGTATTTAAATCGATTAATTAGAGACTGACGCCATATCTGTTGTTACATTAAGAATACGAAGAATATAAATTTACACAATAGAATGTTTAACTACAGTTCAACAGCTGACACGACTTGAACTCCGCAAGGCATTGTTTTATATTATATATGACATTGCCTTTTACTTTATTAAAAACTTTGATTTCTTATAACCACACCTACTCACAAGCTTCCCTCTTAGTTTTTCGGAAATTCATTAGCAAACAACCTTCATTTCAAAATTTTACACATTTATCTAAATTTAAATCAATTACAGTTGAAATTTGATTAATTGCTCTTAATTCATTTTATCCTGTTCAATTCCTGAATGAAAACACTGATATCGCATACACTAGACAAATGCGGAGTATGTTATTGCATATAAAACAAAATTTCACATTATGGGGGTGTGAATCTATTGAAGTAGGCTCACTTCCGTTTACAATCAAGCGGATTTCCGCCAACAAATCAATACTTCTACAACATTCACCGTGCTTATAGTTCTACAGCGGTTTGAAAGTGTATTATCACCCCTCAATGTGTGCAAACATATTACAAGAGGAGCGGCTAAGGCTTTTCTTTTTCAACTCTTGAACCGAGAGTCAAATAACTTTGAACCTAAATTACCTCTGTACGTAGTTGGTCAGAAAACAAAAGCAGAAGACCTCTGTGGCATAAACAGTAGTGTAGCCACAGAAAAGAAAATAATTTTCTGGTATTTTGCACTACAGGTTATCATTACAACTGGACTTCAAAGAAGTATTGGAAATTATTGTAACTTGAAAAGATGAGCATACTAGAAAAAGTCCATTGGTAGCTGCTGTGTATGTTTTGGAACAACTTCGAGCAGACTAAGTAAAATTAAAAGTTGTAACATAATTATAACGTTTAAGAGACTTGCTTTTCTTCACCAATTGATTGAAGTAATCTCTCATTAAGGAACTGTGTCTAACTGAGGTAGAATTCATTTTTTCCAGCAAAGTCCAGCTCGGAGTTGACCGCTTTTTAACGAAGTTCTGACTTATAAAACGTTGAACTTGTCATTAATATTACATTCGGTGTATAATATGTTAAACATTAGAATGACTTGTCATGAAAATTAATATCAAATTGCTAATTATGTTTTAAAGTAATTGGGCCAACAAATGTACACGAAATGAGTTCAAAATTTTCCGTATTGTACTTGATTCCAAAAGTTAATTTCTAGCAATAGAAAAAATAAAAAATACTGGATCCCTGCTAATGTATGTGTGCGATTAACCATTATTGAGTATTTGGGATGGGGCTGGAGGGTAGTAAAATAGTTTACTGCTTCAGCCAAATATAAATTCGTAATGCAACAGTAGCAGTCTTAAAAATTAACGATAGTGTTTACATCTTTACCGTTAAATATATATATGTATGCGAATGTGTGTCCAAAACAGGTTCCGGATTGACCTGGCAGAAATTAAGCAATGTACGAATCGCGAACAACAAATCGTTTTTGACTAGCATTCAAAACTCCTGAACTCGGGTTACAAGGAAATTACCACCTGAACTTTATGCCTGAGGTCACTTTTATCCCAGATTTAAAAGTGTTTTGTTTGTTTTGGGTTTCGCGCAAAACTAAATACTGGCTATCTGATCTAGCCGTCCCTAATTTGGAAGTGACAGACTATAGGGAAGCTAGCCAATCCATACTACCCATTGCCAACTCTTGTCTGACTGAATAGTAGTATATTTGATTATCACCTGCATAATACACAAACGGTGGACACGATTTACGTTACATATATTTGGTGGTGAGAAGGCGTGAATCACGTAACTTCAGCTCCACACTCCGCACATTAACTACTGGACTGTACTCGGCCCAGATTTAAAAGTATCCATGCAAACTACACATATCATTCCTTCTACAAAGGGACATCATACGTTCAAGTTAATTTTGTACGAGTACACTCCTGTTTCTATGTGACATGTAACAGTGACTTGGGAAGATTGTTACGTCTCTGGTCGTTAGTTAATTCCCGTATAATTTCTTTCCGATGAAACTTTAGCGATACAAGTCCTTTGTTAAATAAAACTAGTTTATTCTTTCTCAATACAACTTTGCAATACACTTGATTTCCACATTCACGCTATAACTTAAAGAAACGCTATAATTCACCACGAACGAACGATTCACGCGCTTGACTATCTCTATTGTCGTCTCTATCTCTGTCTGCAATTCAATTCCATTATTGCCGTCACTTGTTGGAGGTCTTATATACAAGAATACCGTAC